CAGAGACATAGGTAACAGTGTTGGGTACTTTTTACAACTATCTTTGTAGACATTATGTTTTCTTCACATAAATCAAGGAATACCCCCCCCCCCCCGCCGAGTTGATCTAAAATTCATTCATCGAAAGTGATATAAATTATTCAAGAACAATTAGAATATTTTGAATTAATAATAATCTATAATGAATTTATTTGAATTACCAGGCAAAAATGCAACCGAGAACTGAACTAATTAATAAATAGAGAAATGAATACATAGATGAACATCTGACATTTTCCCTATTTACTATAACCGATTATAGGTTGAAATTATAAAGATTGCTTTTGTTCACCAGAAGCACATCGAATATACACTTCTGATGCGCTTAGATTTATGAATGTATCTTAACATATCTTGTGTATTATATAATTAATGATCCATTGTGTCATTTTCGTATTTCAGCAAATGCTGCTAAAATGTTATTTGGCAAACTGATCATGCGAAACATAAAATACTTTTGAATTGTAGTTTTTATTTTATCAAACCTGGAAAATATCTGGTATCATATTTCCTATTACAGTTGGTATTATTTAGCAAATAATTACCAACAATAATTATATAATTAAAATCGAACCCTTTTTTCTTCTATAAGGGATCTGAGAGATGCCCAAATAATGTTAAAGTGAAAAAAGGAAAGAAAAAAGAAGTTGACTCTTCTGCGGTTTGAACACACGCCCCTCAATTTCAATGTAGTTGACAAGTAATTCCCATTGTGTACACCGGTCTTACTGTTCTGTGTGAAACCACTCTAAGCATGATGGGAACGCCCTTCTTTTAACATGGCGGCTTGAACATGGAAGTCATAGCACAAAACGCAAATTGGGCCACTTGAAAAATTCAACATTTTCCAGACCCTTTTGGCAAAATAGCCATTACATCATTTTTACTCAAAACATGCATCAAACACTGCTTCTAACAATCCTTAAGTGGTTTACAAACCCAATTTCGTTCAACACGCGTGATTGTTCGTCCATTGTTAGTTTAAAACCGAAAGTGAAAGTAGTTTTGAATATTTTAATAAATAGTAACACAGTCGAACAATTTTTATTTAAATAAAAAGATGAATTTCATTTAGACATATATATATTATTTAAATAAAAATTGTAGAATAGTTTAGCTAAATATCCTTCTAATAATAAATTCATGTGAATCACAATTGGCATATAATCAATAAGGTGTAAGAAAGATTTTGACAAAAGTTGTTTAATAAGCATTCGCAAAAACTCCTGATTTTATATTACAGTCTGTCCCACCAAATTTGAATATTTCATTTTGTATTAAATAGAATAGTAAAATCATTGAAATCAATGTCACGTTAACCCTTAGGTCAATATCTCTAGGCATGTTTTACTTTTTTTTTCAAAAAGTCAGTAATATGGTCAAAATGTGAAAATTATATTTTTCCCGTTGACTAACGTTATAACCTGACATGACGTCCATTTCGAAAAGGCGTCGCCCATAAAGACGTCATTTAGGGTTCGTCTCACAATTAGCCTGGAATATACTAGTTAATTATAAAAAATGATTATTCTTATTTACTTACTGATCAATATTAAAAAAGAGAACAAGTTGGTGTCAAAAAGACAATTTTACTAGCAAACCATTGTTTACAATAATCGCTAATTAAAACCATTTAAAGTGAAATACCAGTAACCTCTTTATAAATTCTAACATTCAACAGATTTATATGATTATAATGATCTACTGTCGTATTTTATATTCATTTTCTAAGAGAAAAAGATAAATGAAGTGATTTGATTAGATAGTTTATCACGAGCGTATATCTTGAATACCGCCATGCGTTGTAAGGTAACGGGAACACAAGCTAGAATACCAAATTCCAAAAAAAAATATTATTTTACGACCTTTCTGCGTATAAAAGTAAACTTAACAAAATAACACTATCAGAATTATATCATACAATAATGAATAGAATATGAAGGGAAAGACGGATCGATGGTCATATACATTTAAAAAAATCTATACATTAACCCGTTATTCGCTAATGTTTAATTTACTTAATAAATATATATATCATGTCAATTTAGAAATAATTAAATAACAATTTCAGCATTGCTTTGCTTTTATCCGCAGTGCCTACTTTAACTTTTTTTTTCGTGAAGCCAGCAGCCTAGCAGCATATTAGACTAAAGATACAGCCTAACATACTTAAAGATATACTATGCTCATCTTTTGGTAAAATATTTTTATCTTAGAAATGTATTGAAATCCATGAAATTCTTACTGAATATGTTTAATTTTAATAAAATAATGAAAAAACTATGTATGCGAAGCGGCATTCCCTATTACAGGTCAAGTAAAGTTGGTCTTTTCTTAAAAACACTGCCAGTTTTTTTTAATGACACTATATTATATAAATAACACATGGGTTTGTGGGTAACAGTAAAAATATCATCCCGAGGAGAATACTGTTACCTGAGTATTACTGTTACTCACAAACCCATGTGTTATTTATTTTATTTCCCCGAACAAAAATACTGTGATGATCTGAAATTGTCAACTAAATCTAACTGTAACAAAAATAAACCAAGAGTAACAATAACTAAACTGTCCTTTAAGTGTACTTTAGGCCTACTTGAGAAGTTTTCTTTTATTTTTTAAGCAAGTGATGATATCTACAAATCATAAACATACAATAAGCTAGGTTTTATTTAGAAAACAAAACACTAACCCATTTACACGGTTATGATCTGTGAAATCTAATCCTTTTGTTTCCAGAATATTCTTACCATGGTTTTTGACAGAATAACGATGATATCCTATGTCTGTCCACCATATCTGTAACGTTTCACTGATTAAAATTCTTAAATAATCCTTTGTTGCATACTTAAATCTTCCGCATGTTCGAGTTTGACACATAATTATTTACATTGCAATTACTTCCGTTGGAAACGGATGTTCACTTTTTGACTATTCAACAAAAAGATATTTTATACGCGAAAAGCACACACGGGTGCGAACAACTAAATTTTATGAGTGTCATAGTTACTCCAGAGAAGAAATTGATGTCCTATCTGGGTTTAACGTCGTAAATAAGAATGAATCGATGGAAAAATGGCGGCAATTTTATTTCATTTTATTTAGAAAATAGACCACGTGACCAGATTTTATACTGTTAAAAAATACTGTTACCTATATGTAACGGTACAAAATTCTTAGTCACGTGGTACACTTGCATTAACAGTAAAAATAACTCCCAGAGGCCTATGGGAAATTAGCATTACGAAAAAAGTGAGGGGTAATAAATTTATATGGTGACGAAATAAAGTGTGTAGGGTTCAAAACATAACATATCTACTTTAAATGAAGTCAAAACATGTTTCTTTTAAACATACAAAGAGACTGTGTAGCAATTATTAATATCCTTAAAAATCAAATTTGAGCATAGTATATCTTTAAGAAAGAGCTCGGTATAATAATAATAATAATAATAATATCTAAGTTGATTTTGGAAATATAATGTACCCGGCGGAGCTATGATTACCGGAATACTTTTTTTGTTACTTAATTTTTGTCAAAAAGTCTCATGGACTTGAATTTGCAGCCATTTGAACTCTGGATTGTTGTCAAATCAAGATTCGGTGGTTTGTAGTTGCAACGTTTTTTCTCTCGATCCAAGCGTCCGGAAAACGGAGCTAACATGAACATTTGTTAACAGTTCGGAAAGTCTCCTTCGGGCACATTTAACATGATAATTTTAACTCTACAAATGACACTAGTTAGTAAAACATAAGTTTGCGAGTGGCAAAGTCGCTTTACAACATTCAGGTCGATCTTGAAAATGATACACGTTGTTGCTGGGTCACAAGATTAACGTTCTTGGAGGCGCTTGAACAAGACAAAATAATGTTCTACCGTTTGCGCCTTACCGAAATTTTTATGGGATAAGTCTTGTTTGTTTTACTACAACATTTTTACTAAAGTATTGCATATATCTATTGTTTGTTATAGTAATGAATCTAATTTAATAATATCAATTTGAAAACTAATGCTTAAAAGAAATAGAATTTCAAAGAATCTAAGTAGAAAGATGCAATTACTTTCAAATGTATGAATAATGAGCTGCGGTAAACGCAGATTACTATAAGTAAATTACTGGAATTTCCATAAATGTATTTGTTTTTGTATAACATTTATTTTCATCACGCATATTCTTGAATTGAGTTAATTATATAAAACATTGTTTTTGTCTTCATTGTGTATATTTCTCTTTCCCTACCCCACCACAATTAGACATCAGTTCATAAGTCAAACGTTTATGTTGCTAAAACACCTACGGAAGCGACACCCTAAAGTTCTTCAACAAATTGACTCCTTGCGGTATGAGAACATACTGATTTACTCAGTAGGTTCGAAGGCACTGGCCTTGTGTCGCATAAACTGGTAAATGCTTTGAAGGAAGTCATTTGAATGTGTCTAGATGTCAACGCTAATGACGTTATCACAACGTACAGACTGCGCAGTATCTGCATTACTATCTTTGCTGCGATTTGAATTTGCAGATCGCTATGTGAGTAATTGTTATAATGTTGTTTTTTTTTAAAGTAGAATAAACTATGCATTTATATAGAATCTGTAATATGAGCTTCAAAAAATATTATTGAATCTACGGCTTTGATCATTCCTCGTATTTGGTGTTCTTGCTTATTTAACTCATCGCTGAAAGTTTTCAACCCAACTAAATATATTTCTTTAAAACATCAAAAACTATCACACTTTAGTTACGTCAAGCATGAATATTTTAGTAGTTACCAGCCAAGTCAGACAATTGCTCCTTTCAATTATTATGCCCGGCCTGTATGCCTGATGCGAACATTCATTTGTACAAGCAAGGTTCCAATAAGCGCATTTTGCTGTATAATAAGAGTGCACGAAGCAAGGAACCGCTAAGATTATACAGAAAACAAAACCATTCTTGTTGAAAGATATATTTTCAATAATTTGATGATAATGTTTTGCCAACAATACTGTCAGCAGCTACAGAACAATATTCCTAACAACAATTGATAACAAAACATCAATATACTAAACAACAGGACATTATGTGAAAGAAAAAAGACACTGCACCACTCAAAAGACATTGTTAGAAAGGGTCAATTGTTCATACTTTTGCGCCGACAGAAGATGCTCATAAATAATCTTTTGTGCATGTAGTTGCGAAAAATACCGCCATAAATAGTACAAAATGAACAAAATACAAGTTACAAGTCCAACGATTGCAACTTGAAGACGGTGTTGCGATTTCTGCAGAGGTATTGGGAGCTATTGAAGACCCTTCAACTTGGCCAGAAAGGGATGTCTGTGCTTTTACCAATGATTCCAAACCTGCAGGTGGACAGCATGCTTCTGTTTTTTCATTATGTTCAGGAGAATCCGTGCTTGACCATGTTGACAGAGATTGGTGAGTTGTCGGAAGATAAGCCGGACAGCATTCATATGTTTCGCATTCCAAATCATACAAGATACTTGTAAGAGCGAGGTATGGGCTGCACCAGTAGAAAGACGTGTCGTTTGGGCAGTGTGTTGAATTTTTGTTCTCCGGCAACGTTTGACATTTGCCTCCATAGATAATAGGCTTCTGATTGAAAGTAAAACATAATATAAATTCATGGTAGATATGTTACATAAGTAAGATATTAAACTACTTAGTACTGCAACACTACACAAAATATCTATCTTTTATTTAATATCTATTGTTTTTGTTTTTTTGTTTTCAATTATAGATACATGTGTATATAAATCGGTCATTATCTTTGTTATACTACAGACTATATCCGTTATTATTAACTTGTTTCTTTTTTATACTTAGTCTTTATTTACAGTTATAAATAAATATGGAATGCTATGATTGTTGTAGTAGCATTTTGTAAAATCACTGAAATCCTAGGCATTTTGTAAAATTACTGAAGTGGCTAGTCATTTTGTAAATTCCTTAACTTCTAGGTGTTTTTTTTTCAATTTTGAAATTGTAATGAAGATTTCAAGAAATTGCCTGCAGTATATCAGGCATTTTATAATTACTTTTTAAGAAACTCCCTGGAATCATTTAAGCTGTTTGTTGAATGCATTATATTTGACCAGAGGTGGTATAATGTATGACTGTATAAATGTTATATCTGGTCATTTGGATTAGTAGTAAATGAAATAAGTATCAACCATGAAAAGGGGTGAGAGACTGTCAGTAATTTTCGAGAATAAAGTTCGGCATTATTCAGATATTTACTGGTCATCTATTTAATTGTGAATATACGTGAACAACATTCCGGAAAAAAAAATAAAAAACAACTTCTCATCACATTTTATTTAAATTTAAACAGGATAGTGTTTTTTATATCTGTTACATAAATACAATAGGCATTTTACAAAATGCCTGCTTATATTTCCAGGCATTGTGTAAAACTTCTAAAAGTGTTAGTACTTTTATAGGAAAATTGGCAAGAGGGAATGGTGGAGCAACATTGAAAAAACTAGAGGGAAAGGGATGTAACTTATTGTAGAAGACAAACACTAGATGGGACACAAAAGTGTCATTACAATTGTATGTAACAATAAATGAGACAAACACCTAACAAACACAGGGAGGCACTGCTTTGGAACGTTCAGTATTATAAGCTCTACTGGGGAGTTTAAACCGGTTAATGATGCACCAATCCTAACATTTTGCCCCAGCATGCTCCTTTTAAACAAGACAATGTAAACAAGAACTGATTGAACCGGGTGATGGTCGTCGAATAGGTTTTGGACACAGAAAAAGTATACCTCTTGTAGTTTCAGAGTTATGTCACGGACAAATTAAAAGTGAAATAATTCCAAACCTAGTCAAGACAGAGTAATTGTTCTTTGCACTGCGCATCTACCCAATAATATATATCTACCGACGAAGTTTCTTGTTCATATATCTTATAGTGTTTGAATTATGTCCCGGAAAAGTTCCAAATGTAAATATGAAAAAAGGGCAATGACTCCAAAATTAGGCAAGTCAGAGTAACTGTTCTTGTACACTGCACATCTACCCAATTAGAATTATCTACTTACAAAGTGTCTTGTTCAAATCTATTTACTTTTAGAATTATGTCCTGGACAATGTTCAAAGTGTTCAAATGGACAAAGAGCAATATCCCTAAAATTAGGCAAGGCAGAGTCATGGTTTGTCTGCACTGCACTTCTATCTAATGAGATATATGTACCTACAAAGTGTCATGTTGATAACTCTTATAGTTTCAGACTAATGTCCCGAATGAAGTACAAAGTGTAAAAATGAACAAAGGGCAATAAATCCAAAATAAGGCACGACGGAGTTATGTTTTGTTTGCTCTGTACTTTTACCCAATAAGGTCTATCTACCTGCAATGTTTCATGTTGATGTCTTTTACAGTTTTAGACTTACGTTCCGGACAAAGTTCACAGTATAAAAAAAATGAACAAAGGGCAATAATTTGAAAATAAGGCATATCAGACTTATGGTTCTTGTGCACTGCATATCTAACCAATGAGATCTATCTACCTACAAAATTTCATGTTGATACCTCTTGTTCTTACAGAGTAATGGCCCGGACAAGAAGCGGACGGACGGACGGAAAACCGAACGGACAAAGCGTCGACTTTATGCTTACCTTTCGGGGAGCATAATAAAATTGAATTCTTGCCGAGCGAAATTCCAACAATTGTTATGATAATTAAAGGTGAAATGAGGAAACCACAAAAACGATCATGTAGATATTTGAACACCCAATAACCATAACAAAAGAACTTAATGTCTTAAATGAAACGTTCTATTGCAAAAGTTCTTAGTCTTAGATTGATTATAAATACATTGGTACATACAGTTAGTAGCACCCCGACACCGTCTGATGCAGCGTTTAAGAATAAATGTTGTTATTTCTTTAGACTATAATGAATACTAGCTCTTGATTTATAAATGAATGAAACTTACTAAGCAGATATCCCAATGACTGACACAATAGTCCCATCTTATTTCCGAGTCCGTGGTATAACACCAAATTTCATCTGAAAAGTGTGACTCACGTGAGAAATTGAAAAAAAACTAACATTTTTCAGATCTTCATCATTTTTCACTAATTATTCAATTACTTTCACCATCACCAGAATGTAGAAAACATTATAATGATATTGAGTAGAGTTTTATTAATATAAAATGAAAAACAGGTATCAGGACCATGGCAATAGAAGCTGTCAAGTTGAAATAACTGTAAACATAACGAATATCCTTTCATACAATTTAAATGTATCCTACTTATAACTGATGCAAAATTGCGTTGGTCGTATTACTGCTTATCATATAAAATGCTCATACTAAATCGCTGAGAGTAACCAGACGATATATTTAGTTTTGTTTTATAGCTATTCGCAATACTTATTAAACGTATGCTCATTATAGACCAATCCACTTAAACAGTATAAATTATGATACAGTAAACAATACTATTTTCATACGTTTCCGTCTTTCTAACAATCATTTCTGAACTAATACAGAAAATTAATAGAAAAGTTCTAAATTAAAAAAAGACTCTATAAATAGATACAATACACGTGTAAATGGTTAATATGGCCTTACACTGTCCATCGGCGTCTCTGCAATAGTTATGAGCTTCGTTAACGGAAACGTCATTCGGGAAGTGATTGGAAGTGTTTGTTGTATGTTGGTGAGGTTGTTGACTGTCCCAGCGCTGGCATGTATATCCGTCCAGTGTCACGTTCAGAGTACCGCTATATGATGGGGCGTCAATGCATTCTTACATGAAATACGTAATAGTAACACAGTTACAGCATTGTCATATACACTGGTAAAAGTATACAAATAAATCAGTGATTTATCCATTTTTCTCTAGATTCCCTTATTTGCATATTAATATTTGATATTTTTACTGAATTATTTAACAATTTATTTTTTAAATTTCATCAATGTCAGCAGTATATTAAGAAATGAATATTTCAATTATCTATTGAAAAGTACGTAGATCTAATGAATATTTCTGAGCTTTTTTAAAACGTGAGTAATAAAGTGTTCAGTTGCATTAAAATAACTATTGAATTGATATATTGACAAGCCTGCAGCCCTGTACTAAAATATTTCATTGACCTTCGGGGAAAAAAACTTAATATTGTAATGCAATAATATTGTAAAAAATACTTTTGAACTCTGTCAAAAAAGAATGCAACAACTAGTTGAAAGTTCTATTGAAATGTCAGCATTAAATATAACAGTTATCTACAAAGAAGCATGCACCGACTTAGTAGTGTATAAAAGAGCGATATAATTATATGTGTCTTATACTAACATCAGGAATTTTTTACCATATATTTTTATTTACGTATAAAATCCTTTACCTCCATTAATAGTAGTTAAAAGACAGGCAGCTATCACTGTAAATATCCGCTCTATTCTGAGAGCCATCTCTGTGGTTTTGAAGAAATAAGATCAGACAATGTGACTTTGCCGCAGAAACTCTCCTATTTATTCACGATAGAAGGAGCATTCCCATTGGTAAGTGTATAATTTCCTTTAAGTATCACGTGGTTTACATTTTGTATTTACATTGAGACTATATTTGGTCAGCTATACATAGGAAAATCTTTATTAGTTTCTTTTTTAGTTAAAGAATGTTATGATATGAATTTTGATTATATGCAAAGATGTTCGGATTTAAAAGATAAGAGAAACTTAAACAAAACAAATCAAAACTTATATTTTCTGGTCCTTCGGGATCATTGATGCCAACACTATAAAGTGTTGAGAATTGAGTACCGCTCAAGCCGGTGCTAGGGGGCGTGAGGGATGTTGCACTGATTCATTATCTCTCATGTACAGACTCAATCAAACCGAGTCTGCAATTCTTATGTTATTTTGTTGTGATTAATGCTTCCGAGGGATCACTTTGTTTCCAGAATTTTGTACTTCACAACAGCAGGTGTCAAGTGCCGTGTGGCAGTCGTAAAAAGTTGCCCCGTACTTCACTTCAGTGTTGTTATATTTTCTGGTCCTTCGGGATCATTGATGCCAACACTATAAAGTGTTGAGAATTGAGTACCGCTCAAGCCGGTGCTAGGGGGCGTGAGGGATGTTGCACTGATTCATTATCTCTCATGTACAGACTCAATCAAACCGAGTCTGCAATTCTTATGTTATTTTGTTGTGATTAATGCTTCCGAGGGATCACTTTGTTTCCAGAATTTTGCTTTATTATTACTATTATGAGATTATTTGCTTCAAGATGACAATGATAATGTTTTATTGTCTATTGTCATGTGATCATAAATAATAGATAAAGTATTTGTTTAAGAAATAATATCGATATCAGCGGTTGTATCGGCCATTAAACACCTCTTTGGAGGTTTGGTGCGTAGGTATTGACCATGAAGGTCATAGACAAAATCACGTGGAGTGTAAGAATCAACATTAAAATGACGAAATTGTATCTAACTTCTATCAACACTATAAACGTTCATACCTGCCGACATTAACCAGTTATGCCTACCACGGGGGAGTTCTTATGATAACTTGTCAGGCGTTCTTGTGATAACTATCACGGTGTTCGTTAAAACAAATTGTATAAACACTTTGCAAAAATGGTAATTTTCATGTTTAAAAGGTGAGATTTAATTGCTTAATTTAAGTTCAATGATAAAGCTTGCCTTATTTCTTGCATTATGTGTCAAAGACTAATTTATCACACACCCGTGCCGATTTTGCGACTCCGTAAATATGGTATTGCACGGCCGTGCATATATTTTGACGTGACGTCATTAGCGTTATACAAACATAGTGTAAATACGCGCTAAATGTAAGCGTTATACTATAGGCGCGTCAATAAAAACTGACTCTTATTTCACTTTAAATGGTCCTTATTTTGGGTATGTGATAAATAGAATATTATATTCGTGTAAGTTCATTACTGAATTTATTGCACTCGTTGAATAAAATAATATTATGCTCGCCAGAGGCTCGCATAATATAATTTTATTCAACTCGTGCAATAAATTCGTTATTGAACTTACACTCATTCAATATCCTCTATTCATAGTCCATTTTTCATTGCCTCTTGTTTAAAATCTAGTAGATTTGAGTAAAATTTCGAAATTATATGCCAAGTCGCACATATTGACCCGTCTTTTTTGATCTTCATCCTTGCCATTCATAACTGCCTAATTATATTGCAAAATTGCAAATATAAAACTAACAAATTTATGCTCGATTTTCCAAATGTCCTGTAGTTCTTGTGATAACTTTTGTTACTGCCAGTGTGCTTCTTTTATTATTCCATAAGGTTGTACATCATTATGAAATGCAGTACGCTCATCCTTTGAACAAAAATGAGGACATATAATGTTGGTTTTTAGTGTATTTTAATTCAAGATATATTATTTTTTTACCTCTATTTCTTGTAAAATGTTCATTTTATAGTATTTTTGCTGACGCAGATTTCGTAAACTGGAAAAGGATTGATGTAGAGCATTGACTTGCGTGATAAAGTGCCCTTTAAATCAATACGCAAGCATGGTGTCTTTGGGTTTTCTTTATGAATTATTATTTTATGTATACATTATAAAGGACTTTTTGTTACAATTTTTCCTTGTTGGGCTTTCTTTAGGGATTCAGGGATTCTGCTTTTCTCTATTTTGTTATATTATGTTTTATATGTTATTGTTTATGCTTAAATCTTGTAGCTACATGTATATTTTAAGCTTAGCATAATTTTATATTGTATATTGTTTTATAAGTAATGGGTAAGTGGTCATTAGATGCGCCTACAATATGATGTGAAAAAATATAAATATGTATTTTATGTACTAATTACAGGATTTATTTACTATATTTACTAATAGAAAAAGATATAAGTGGGGCGAGATATAAGGTTTCTCCTTTCAAAATAGTGCAAATAGTGATACAATCATGACACTATCACTTTCATTATGCCCAGACCATGTAGACTTTAAAATGAAGTTGGCCTAAAATATCTCTGCTTATTCAAGATGGCCGCCAATTTCAAAATGGCCGCCATATGAATTTTAAGTATATTTGATTTACGTTAAGTAAAGCAATGCTACAAAAGCTTTGAATGCTGAAAACAATACTTACAGCAATTTCAACAATAACGTAAAAAAAGTACACAATATAAATTTAAGCCTCAATTTCATTTAAAAATGGCGTCCAATATCAAGATATCTGGTCTTTCAAATGAGTTATGTAGAACTTTATGTCGTTCATGTACATTTCTATAATAAACATTTATGTATTTTGATATTGTTTTGTATACTACAATTTTGTATGCACTTAGCTGCTTTAGTTTACTGCTGGATAAAAATATAGGTGGTGGTGGAGTTGGTAGATCACGACAGAAAGCCACAATGAATTTACCAGAGAACAGTTCAGCCACCGTATCGTTCCTGGGCATGCTGTCAAGCAGTTTATCAGTACAAGTTGCCTTCACTTTCGCAAGGAACTAATTACTGCTGTACATGCTAGAGCAGAGGTACAGTGCGAATGACCGTAGAAAGGATTGCATGATCAATCACACCGAGAGAGAATTGCGACGTCCGGGAATCTAACTCGGGTCGCCCGATTCACGGTCCAACGCTCTACCTATTGAGCTAACCGGACGACAAAAAAGTTAAACTGACGTCGAAATAAGGGTAAGTACAATTCTTAAATAAACAATTAGAACATCATATAGAGTACCGGATACCGTACCAAATCGGACACTTTTTGTTATAATTGCGACTTATCTGTTTACCGTGTATCACTGTCGTCTTGTGTAGCGAAGCGGATGGTTTTTTTTTTCATATTCATAAGTGACTTCATATTTTACGTCACACTGACTTTTCGACGTTTTAATTGGCTAAAAATCTGGAAAATGATGTCACAATCTAATCCTACCTTTGTTTACATCGGAGCATCACCAATAATTTATAGGTACAAAACAATTTATAACCCTCCCGTGTTTGAAATTGAAAATAATTTATAAATAGTAGCCTTGAAACAATATACTTTATTGTTATTTTTAGACTAATGTTTTACTTAAATATAAAGTATTTCCTTCATTTTTTTGTAAATTTGAAACCGTCCGATATTACCCTACACGCATTTAGAATTTAAATGTCTCAGTGGGGAACATCGGGCACGTGAATACAAGCTAGCAAAAAGCAGATGGACTAGCTCGATCTAAATAGATTCTATATCTTTTTATAGGCCTACTGAAGAAAATATTTACCTTTTTTCTTGATATAAATATAATTATGTATTTTTTTTAATATACAGTAGATCTACATTAAGCCTTTTACGCTGTCGCAAAACAATATTATTTATTAACGTTGTTATATAACGTTATCATCAGTGCCGCCGTTGTCTGTTCAAGTGACCATGGACGTTAGCAAAACGGGAGATCGGTTGCAGAAGCATTTTTTTATTCTAAATAATTGTTGAAAAGGAACTGATTAGAATGTTCGAAAATAGTATTTTGATCATCTTTTTCCGCAGATTTACTTCAAATTGCATTTTACTTGAAACGGCAGAGAATAGCCACTGTGCAAGACTCATGTTGACAGAAATCCATTCATTTATAAATGACAAAAACGCCGAGATAAAAAGTATTGTAATCTTGTCACGCAGATTAATTCAAAGTTTACTTTTCAAAACTGTTGAAAAAAAAATGCAGACTTGGTTTGATTGAGAAATCATCGACGACATTAAAATGAATACACTTTTAAAAGAAATTTGTTTTCACCATAAATGATTAATAATGAAGGAAATCAACTGGAAAGGTATCAAGCGAAGGAAATGATTGCTAGGATTTTTTCCGAGAGTACTTAATGAGAAAGTTTATCATCATATCTTGATAATATTTTATTGTATATGAACAATATAGAGGAAAATATGAAAATTTATAAATGAATTTGTACACGAGTTATAAACAGCCTGTTCTGTAAAACTAATGTTTGGGTACTAGGGAAAAAATAAAGGGTAAAATCCTATTTGGCCCTTTAAAATACCGAACAAAAAATAAAAAATAAATTAAAATTTTTTAATAAAAAAAAATAAGGATGTTGATTTTTATCGGGAAAAAATAATAAAGTAAACAAAAATTAAAATTTCAAAGAATTATCCACATGAGTTAATAGTGGTATGCAATATTTATTATTCTCCATAAAAGAAAACACGCATTTGAAAATTAATCACGCGATCACGCGCCGTTATTGTTTTTCAATGTATGACACAATCCCTCTATTTAAAAGAGACATTGTAATTCAATTATTCTATCACATGGCTTTTGACAGAATATCTAAACTATAATTTGCCTTTTATAGTTAGTTGTCTTACATAATTTTGTTTAAGATCTGCATCAAAAATTCAAAGTATAATATCGGAAGTTGATATAAATGGGATTGAGCATATATCGT